AAGGGTATAGTTGCGACATTATACCCCCTTCCTCGACTATTTCTGCCTTTTTGCTACCAAACCTGGAGCCTCGCCAGTCGCCACAAGGCAGCATTAGGTCAGTGCACCAAGCGATCTGCGGACCGTGACTATCGTACGTATGAGACGGTCGTTTTTGCAGGAACGTGCCCATGGTGTGGAGAGTCTTGTCGATATTGGTCCCCTTCGCGCTTCCAAATGCAGCATGAACGTCGCGAACCTGCGTCTCACTCAAGTCCCGGGGGTCATTGTCGTCCGACTTTCCTTACCAATGAGCGCTTTTCCTTCTTGAAATACACCGAGCCATCTTTCTAGCATTGGCTGTTGTTCGACTTCGTGCTGCGGTACCGACCTCGCACCGCATCTCCTATCCCGATCCGCTTTTGAATATCCCAATCACCACCTTCTCCGGATCAGCCATTATGAGTGCTTGAACCATGCGCATTTTCGCAGGTCTACTACTCCGAGTCCCTCAGATTTCCTGTTCTACGCACTCGTCTTTCTAATAACACTGTCAATATGGATACGAGTAGCATCACGCCCGCTGGCACCCGGGTTAATATCATTGTACTTGCTTTCACACTTGTTTCTGGCTTGGTGGTGTTTCTACGACTTTTTACGCGACTGGTAATATCCAGGGGAGCTGGACCTGAAGATGCATGCATCGTTTTTGCTATGGTAAGTGAAGCTGGTTGCGCAGCGTGCATCTTTTGCTGACGACTCATAGGTTCTTTCCATCGCACTTGCTGTGCTGACGGCGGAGCAAGTGATGAATGGCCTTGGAGAGCACGGTGCGCGAATTGAAGACGACAAGCTAGATAGACTGGAAATTGTAAGTGCAGAAAAATCATCATTCTCCGACGGTATACTTGGATATCCCGGCTCATGTGTTATGAGGTGCCTGATGAGGTGCCTGACTGCAGCACGTCTTACGGTCGTCACGACATTGAGTGATGCAGATGCGTCACCTATATGCACCGAGGGGCTTCTACCTTTCATCGCTTATCTGTATTGCGACTAACAATCACACAGTCATTCTGGGCGAGCGTCTGGGTCTACAACCTCACACTCACTGTGACAAAGATATCCATTCTTGTACAGTATCTCCGTATCTTTCCTGTGCGAAACTTCCGCATAGCGTGCTTCGCTGTCTTGGGTGTTGTCGTAGCCTACGGCGGCTGGTCGACTTTCTCGAGCGTCTTTATCTGCAGCCCCGTCGCTTTTGCATGGGACAAATCCATCGGGAACGGACGCTGCATGAACCAACTTGTCATATGGGTTACGAATGCTGGTGTCAACATTGCGCAAGACGTAGTCATCTTCCTCATGCCATTGTCTATCGTCCGGGCCCTTCAAATACCCAAATCACAAAAGGAAGGCTTAGTGGGCATGTTCGTGCTGGGCGCAAGGTAGGGCAACTCAGGCAGTTTCGGGTATCACCAATGCTAACGGATCAACAGCGGTACCATGGTCTCTATCATCCGACTGTATACCTTGGACGACATCGCCAACTCGACCGACGTCTCGTTCGACAACAAAGATCACGCGACACTATCTGCGGTGGAGGTGAATGTTGGAATCATTTGTGCATGTCTACCAGCTATGCGACCGCTCTTCGCTCTGATAGCACCGCATTACTTCTCGACAGCGGCACAATACACGGACCAGCGAGCCTTCGATATCGAGCGCCAAAAGCCTGGAGCTGGCCCACGGGCGAGCGTCCGGCCTGGTACCGCAGCTACGAGGACCAGACCCAACACAGCACGAACGACCATGACTCGTCCGCCCACCGCCACTGCGAGAACGGCACCAGACACGTCTAGGAATACTATCATCCGGCCCAGTACTGCCACCACATTGACGAGACCCAGCACGCGGTCATCGTCGCGGCCAAACACCTCACAGGCCATGAAGCTTGAGACATACACTCCGCCGCGGGCAGATTCGGTCCAAAGCGACATGATGCCCCTTCAGCCACTCCCAGCAACGCTCTCTCGGACCGCAAGCGGCCGTTTCTCCATTACAAACAGCCGCCCGACCACAATCCGCATGCACAGCTACAACAACCATTCTCGCAACGCAAGCAGTAGTTCTGGACGAAGCACACAGAGCACACCACGAGGACGGTCTGCTACCCGTTTCCAAGGAAGCATTGATCCTCTCCGCATGTCGCCTGTCACACCTTTTAGCCCACCCTTCCCCGCCCCTCTACGAACCGTTTCACCGTTGGCACTGGGTCCTAGTGCCCGGCAATCAAGCAGTCAGCGGACGCCATCGCCACTACCACCACGGACGCCTGTGCCGGGACAAGATAAACAGTTACCTCTTACGCCTTTTCCCGTTGGATCCGCAGACTGAACGGGACTCTAGATGATCCTTCCGCCTGTCAGAACAACGTACGATTCATCACACCTAAACAACACGCTCGTTATCCAAACATGACGCCACAGAACATGTCCTTATATTATCTAATGCTACGATGAAGATACGACTCATGTCGCTCTTACGACCCGAAGCAGGCTTACTTCAGCCCCGCCAATGCAGCGGCTCCAACATCGGCAACATCAGAGTCGCTTTTGACTACGACATGTCATCGCCACACTCGTTACACCACCACATCACCGATGACAACCACGATGGCCGCACACGTGCTGAGGCCATGTCATTGGAGAGACACAACGTCCGCCTCGGGCGCGGGTAATAGCCCCGTCAACACCGCGCCGACAAAGGATCCGGGCCCCTTACTTAATGTACCCCTGCTACACACCACGCTGGACGACATCTTGAAACGACACTTTGTCCTGTTTCCACGCGTGCATCCTAAGCATCGCATCTTTTACTACAAGTTCGCTTTAGACTTGTTATCTTGCATTTTCACATCAGCCATTCCTTCTCTAGAGCATTTCTGTCATACATTCTCTCTTTTACGCCCAAAATATGTAATATGTAATCACTGGTGTCTGGATTTACCTACATTCTATTCTGCATACAATCACGACTGGTGTGAGGGAGCACGGAAGCGAACAAGGTTAGATGATAATGTAATACCCTGGTAGTAGTAGACACGACATGGATTTTCAGATCCATCAATACGCGAACACAATAATGCATGGGCTTCAATAATCAGAATATGCGGCTTGTAGATGTAGCAGAACGCTGCTCCCTGAAACGACAGTTGTGGATGCCATTCGATATCTAAACCTCAAACCAACAATACCCATCTGTACAATATACTGTGCTCCAAAACGCCAAACAGAAACGCGTCGCGCACGTGGAAGCAATCATCTGAACTTGCTGTAAATGACCGCAATGATAAGCAGCACCAAGACGGTGATGATAGCAATCGTAATGATGCGGTTCGTCGCCATCCTACACAAAGTCTCGTTAGCACTCTCTCTCGCAAGAATCAAAAGGGCATCCATCTAGACTCCACATCAACCGGAGCTTGCATGATAGATGCGAAAGAAGATGCGGAAAGAACATACCGTCTCGCCATCCCCCTCAACGTCTTAATACTCCGATCAGTATAACTCTCACTCTCCAATAGCCTCTCCCTCGTATTCGTAATCTGCTCCCTCTGCCTATGAAGATCGCTCAGTGTGCCCGCGCCAATCTGCTCGGTCTCGAGCGCGATGCGCTGGCTCTCTCGCAGCCGTCCACTCGACCTGTTGAGGCGATCGGTGCCCGAGAGGAGTTGCTGGCGCTGCTCGAGCTGCGCATCGCCGCCTTCGGGGTTGTCGGTGTAGCGGTCGCCGAAGAGCTTGGCCTTGTCTGTCGTGTAGGTTTCTAGCTTGCGCTTGTGCGTGTCGAGGTCGTGTTCGAAGTTGCGGAAGCGCGCATTGTATTTCGATTTGAGGTTCGCGGGGATGTTGGACTTTTCCAGGCGCATTTGGCCGATCTGGTGGGTAGGTAAGTTAGCTGCGCGGTCTTGTACATGGTGGTGGTGGTGGCTGTCGCATGCGCAACAGGTGTGTTTAGGCGGCGACTCACCAGCTCTTCGGCTTCTTCCAGCGCGCGCTCTGCCCTGCTAATCGCGGCTTTCCGGGGCTCTCCGCTGGTCTCTTTGATCTGCTCTATTTGCTGGCTGAGGTCGGCCTGCACCAGCTTCAACTCGGCTTCGTAGCCGCTGAAGCGCTCGGTGCCTGCATCGGCGTCGATAAGGTTGGACATGGCGGCGGTGAAGTCTGGATTGCGCAGTGTAGGCTTCGTTGTTTATGGAGGGCTATCGTCCTTGAGTGTGAATGGCGGCCTGGGTTGGATGTGTTTGTGAATGCAGCGTCGAGCCTGGAGTCGGAGCTCATGAGGCGCATTACGCACTTGCCAAGGTCATCCCTGCCGTGTCACGTGTGCCACTACGCTTCTGCATCTGGGGAACCTCCAAGCGGCAAGGCCACCCAACATCCTTTACTGCGTTCATATCATCACTCCTGCTTGATACGATGAAGGTACCTCCTGTCGCAGCTTGCTAGCAAAACGCATTACCCAACACGAGCGTCGTCGATGCCCAAGTTGTGATTACGTAGGTGTTGCTGTGGCCCCTTGAGAGCCACCTGCATATCAGCCGTGTCGTATAGTTCCTGACTGTCTCATGTATTCCACATGGTAGCAATGCGAAGATGCAAAGTCAGCTCCACAATAATGCTGATAATGCCATGGGCCCTAGTCTGCCGTGTCCACAAGAGAGCGGGTCTCGAACGCATGGCCAAGTGACTGTATAATGCCGCGGACCTCTTCCTGCGTTCAGAACACGCAGCTGAGAGTTCACGATACCTACAATGCCTACATTTCGAGCGTGCGTACTTTCCCTCGACACTAGTCATGCGCCGACTGAAACGGCATTCGCTTCAAATCAATGACATCATGACTCGCATCTTTGCAGCAGCAGCTTTCCTTTGCTCAATTTCTTTCGTCACTCTGGTGCGTCAACTCCAACCGTGTACCTGGCTGTTAGTATCCTCGCCATAATTACGCGCTAGTTGATCATGTCCGGGAAGATGGGGAAGAAGCGCATAGCCATCGTCGGCAGTGGCATATCTGGCCTGAGCGCCCTCTACGCACTTCGCAATACCCAGCATGAAGTGCATCTTTTCGAGAAAGAGGAACGTCTTGGTGGTCATACCAACACAGTGCCGTGGACACACAATGGCAAGAGCACGCCTGTTGATACGGGCTTCATCGTCCTCAACACCGCTACGTACCGTTCGTTCCCTATCAAAACCACATGTCTACATAGATTTAAGTCTAACGAACGTGCAGCAAACTTCATCGAATTTCTCTCAGCGTTGCGTGTCAAGACCGTCGCCTCGGAGATGACCTTTGGCATATCTCGCGATGCTGGTGCTTTTGAATGGTCGGGCACGTCAGGCAGCTCACTCTTCGCGCAACCTTCCAATGCGCTTAAGCTCTCCTTCTGGCGCATGATATTCGACATCATCCGCTTCAATCAATTTGCTCTGGATCTTCTGGCCATCCCACCAGGTTCGCCTGCAGCTGTCGCCGCTACAGAAATGAGCATCGGCGAGTATCTCGAAAGAGAAGGGTATTCAGATGCGTTCAGAGATGACTACCTCATCCCAATGACGGCGTGCGTATGGAGTACGGGCGCGGATAAATGCGCTTTGGAGTTTCCGGCATTGACGTTGGTACGGTTCATGTGGAATCACCACCTACTTAGTACCATAGCAGAGAGACCACCTTGGTTGACTGTTGAAGGAGGATCTAGCAAATACATAGATGCGGTCCTGGACCTGGCTGGCAATTGCGAAGGCCATCTTGGAACGCCGGTTCTAGCGGCAACAAGGAAAGGTGGTAAAGTCGAATTAAGGCTGGGTGGAAGGGGAGAAGGTCAGACAGAGGCTTTTGACGAAGTAGTACTTGCTTGTCATGGAGACCAGGCGAGGTGGATGTTAGGCGACGAGGCGACAGCGACGGAAAAGGACATCCTGGACGCATTCGAAACCACACCAAACACAGCATACCTGCATTCTGATCTTTCAGTGAGTCTTGAATGCTTTGAATATACTCAATTATTGCTAACAACACCCAGCTCATGCCTCGACGACGCACAGCATGGTCCGCCTGGAACTACCTCACCACCTCCAAGCAGAAAACACCATCATCTGCAAACCTGACTACTTCTTCTGGTGCCCTCCAGACCGTCTGCCTAACCTACGACATGAACACTTTGCAGCACATCCCCCGTGACGTCTACAAGAACGTCCTCGTCACTCTCAACCCACCACATCCTCCCTCTCCTGCACTCACCCAGGCAACATACCAATACCGACATCCGCTTTACAACTCGCGCATGGTATTTGCGCAAGACCGTCTCCACGAGATCCAAGGAAAGCAAGGCATCTGGTACGCAGGCGCATGGACAGGATATGGTTTTCATGAAGACGGATGCCGGAGTGGATTGCAGGTTGGAGAGGCTTTGGGTGGCGATGCCGGATGGGAAGTAATAGATGCCAAGTTCATGAGGGGAAGAAAACCAGTCCTGGAGTGGAAGGATCAGGTTGTGAGGATCTTCATCATGTTGGTGCAGATGTGGGTCAGCATATTGGAAGGATTGGCGGGTGTGAAGAGACAAAAGGGTATGGCATTGGAGGCGAATGGGAAGAAGCAGCTATAGCCCTGGTTTCAACCAAACCCTTCAACGTAGTAATCTCTCCTCTTCTCGGTCTACTGCTCAACCACGTCTACCATGATCCGCCCAGCTCCCCTCTACTATCCACTAGCGACGGCGTAGCACAAGCTTCCTCGGCTCAGGCGTCAACAAACCATCAGGCGCATCTGACAGATCCTCCGACAGCGGACTGGTGAAGCGGGCCTGGTACTCAGCGGTAGTATCTCGCTTGCGCTTCTTCTGAGGACTGAGGTCAAAAGTGACGGTCTTCTTGCGCTTTTCGCTAGTACCCATGCTCCTCGCCGGCCGCAACGGAGTGGTGAAAGCGACATCCTGCTCGGGAGTGACTTCGCGCAGCATTGGCTCGGGCGAACTCGGTGGAATCCAGACATAGCCGATTGGAAGGCCACCCCTGAGCTCCGCGTAGTGCACAAGCGGAGGGTTGAACTCGAGTTTGACCTCTTCAGGTGTGGATGTAGGCGCCTCGCTCAGGTCAAAGTAGGCGGGAACGTGGTAGGGATTGTCCTCCGTAGGCTCCAGGGGGGTGTCATCCTGGGCCGGAGGACAGATCCCGAGGGTCTTGTAGCCGCCAACTGGTAGGTTGGCGTAGCCGGCGTACGCCGTGAACTTGGTGACGACCTCCCCGGGGGTGGGATGGTAGTTGATCTTGTCGTTGTCTGGGCGCTTGTAGGTGCCCTGGTTGGTCATGTTGAAGGGATTCGCGAGAGATTCCTGGATGTAGTTATTAGTATGCTGTACAATATCCGCAGAGATTGTGTGTGAGGATGAGGTTGAGCGAGAGAAACTTTCCACGCGCAAAGTTTTCTCATGGCTTCAGGTCTCATGAGTGGTGATGGTGATAGTTGAAGCATGTTGCTTGTGTCTTCGAATTCGTGAAGTGAAGGTGAAAGACATACCTATCAACAAAGACCCATCCTTGCGGCCTTACATTGAACGCTCACTGCCTGCTGAGTTCCTCCTCACATGGCCTGGTCGCCACATGATCTGCTCTTGCCATTCTGTAGAAGCACTGTGACCACTTCGGGTGATGGAAGATGTTCGTGCCCGATTCTTCGCATCGATATGTCTTTTGATATCGTTATCCCATCTGAGATACTGCTGAAAAGCAGTGATGACGTGAGGCGACATGATAGGCATTGGTGCTGTGTTCGACAGATAACTATACGGAATGTATACGACGAGGGAGAGGAATAGTATACGGCACTCTCAAAGAGGGAACTACAGACTATATGCTACGAAGACGCGGCTCCGGGTTCACGATCCACTCCAGACAGCACACCGCTATGGGGAAGACAACACCAAGCGGTCTAGCAAAGGGAATCACATCCAAGTCTAGCCTCGTCAACAGCCTCAACGATCGCGCACGCATGATAAGAGTCATTCCACGGAACCAGCTCTGCGCGTGGAGCACACGCTGCAGACCAAATGTGAGACATAAGCGTTTGCATCCTACGTGCAGCATCTTGGACAATACAGAACAATGATTGGTGCGTTCCTGCACCTAGATCTCCATTACTGCGGGTTTGCACGTGAAGCGAACGATCGTGATGGGAAATGAGGCTCAAGCGGTGAGTTTGATGGTTGAGCTGACACGTGTCGGCGAAGTGACTATACCGCTTTGGGACGCGCGCGACAGGCATTGTGGCGCGAGGCTTGCTATCGCGCACCTGTCACCTCCATCGCGCAACAAACTTGGTTCAGGGGCGTCGTCCATTGTACATGTCACCCACGCTGTCTGTGGGGGTATCCGCGGCCGTATACCTTCCGCGTAATGCGCGACACGCCCTCTGCACTACGCCCACGGACGCCTCACGCGCCGATCGAGTACCAGCACCTCGCGCCAGGCCCCGATAGCCATTCTTTCAGCTGCCCAACGCGCATGCTTTGCGGGTTTCCAGCTCAAGAGCAGCCTCGATCAGAGCAAAGAATGGCTACACACTACACAGTCGTCATGGCTGATGCCCCGCATACCAATATACCTGATGGCACGCACGGCCTGTGGGGTCAATCCGGCTATGCGGACAACCATCGCGGAGCTTGCTTTCATCCCAAGTCACAGATGGCGTGCAACACCTTTGAATTCTTTCGAGGCATGATGTGAGAAAGGCTTCCGACTTAAGCATAACCCTTACCGTGCCTTGTCTACTTCAATCTCCGGCGCAATATACTGCGACAAGGGTTGGTACCCTCAGAGCTTCCATCAAGCGACCGCTGGACGATGTGCAAGACAGTGAGGAGTCTTATTCTGCCACAAGGGATTGGTGCTTACCTCGGTGACACCGAAGTCGTTCTGCGCACATCGTCGCTCTGTATGTAGCTCTCTATGTCAGAGCGAGCGGACTTCATCACGTATGGATCAGCACCGAATGCATTTACACTATCAATTGTCGAATAGCAACAACCTGAGCAATCAGTGAACTTTGCGTCTCTTGATAGACATCCAGTTGAAGGGGTCTGGAGATTGACTGCAATGTGTCCGACAGAACCCATATGAACGATGACCCACCCAGCCCGGCACTTCCTCTTTCATCAGACGCGTTCAACAGTCACTGACATGGCTCAGGTGGGGTAATATACTTTCTGGACCAGACACTGACAGCTTCCATCCCTTATGGATCAGGCAGCTACTGCGATTGTAGCGATAAGTTGCGATGCAGGCTGTGAGGTGCGTCGTTCGGCACATGCACTCCTGCCTCGAAGAGGTTCTACCCGTTGATACATAAGTCGGAGCACTCTGATCCAGAACGCACCCATCGCTTCATCATTACGCTGTGTTCATACCAAGATAGCCCAAGATGCTCTGGAACTTCCTGGCCGGCCTGGTGCTCGTTGCCCCGACTCAGGCTCTTATTCGATTCGGATGCTCGCAGCTGGTCGTAGATCGCCTTGACCCTTTGGTTGAACCAGGCAACGCTCCATCATCGCATCTCCACCAGATCATCGGAGGAAACTCGTTTGTTCCTGATATGAGCCCGGATGTTCACGACCCACCTGCGATGTCCACATGCACGACTTGCCAGCCTGCAGATGACTTCTCCAACTACTGGACGGCTTCTCTTTACTTTCGCGCAAGGAATGGTACCTACAAGCGTGTTAGTCAAAAAGGCAATGCAGGATTTGAGGGTCAAAACGGCGGTATGGTGAGTAGATAGACAAGTTGCCTAGGGACATGCACTGACTGTCCACCTGTGAAGACTGTTTACTACATGCAGAATCAGCTTGCCGACTACCAACAGAAAGCGAAGGTCAAGGCGTTCCAACCGGGCTTTCGTATGCTCATCGGCTCACCAATCGCATCTACAAAGGCAGAAGCGGATAGGTATCCTCAACTTACATATACTTGTCTGCAAGACCCGAGCACACGCTTTCCAGAAACCAAAGCGTTCCCTACCAAACCTTGCCCAGCAGGCATCATGGTCAACTTGAGGTTCCCGACGTGAGTAGTGACGCAGATCTCGCAAAGGGAAGGATGCTGACTGAAGCAGGTGTTGGAATGGTGAAGACCTAGATTCGCCGGATCACATGGCTCATATGGTATGATCCCTGGGCCCTTTGGAGACTGTGTCTTCTAACGCATCACAGGCCTACCCCGTCTCGGGTACATTCGAGAGCCAAGGTCCCTGCCCAGCCTCTCACAGCGTGTCTAACGTAACGTAGTACTTTTAGGTACAATACAGTGTACGTTGTACGTTAGCCTATATATATAGAAGCAACTACTAGCCTGTATTATAACTATATAGAGTAATAGTAAAGAAGTTATAGTATAGCTAAGTATAGTATACAGCCTAGAGCTATTAGACTTTAGCTAAAAGTAGGCTAAGTAGGCTAAAGATTACGCGTAAGGCTAAAAAAAGTCTATATAGATAATTATTTAGTATTATAGTTATTACTACTATTGCTTATAGCTAATATAAAAGGTAAAAAAAGATATTTTAAGTCTATTTTAAATGTAAAAAAAAACTTACAGCGCTCTAATCTAATTCTTATTAAGGCTATTTAATACTAAGTAAGTCTAATTTAAGATAGCCTTACGCTTATAAGATTAGATTAATAAAGATAGTAAAGTTTCTATTTATAGTAATAGGCGTAACTACTATACTATAGAGAGTTTATAGAATAATAGAGTATAGTCTAAATCTTTAATATATATCTTAAGGTAGTAATAGCGTATATATTATAGTAGTAAAACTAGTAACATAATAATAGGCTAAACAGCTATTAGGCTTAAGAGTTAGTGCGCTAGAGAAAGCTAGGTCTAAACAGCGTTTAGATAAGAATAACAACTAGATATATATAATATAATTAACTATATTAAGTACCTATTCTAATAAAGATACTTCTAATCTCTCTACTATATATAGTAACTAACTAAAACTTAACCTATTTAGCCTTCTGCCTTAGAAGAGCTGCGCGCTACCTTTAAGTGCGCATTTTACCTACTAAAGGCTTATTAGAATAATAGTTTAACTAGGCTTTAGAAGAGACATAATTATTGCGTAATATAATAGAATAAGTAATAAGTAAGTATATAAAATAGAGAATAAGATAATACGTAGAATAGTATACCTAAGAGACGCGTAGAAGTAAACTGTAAGCTGTAGAAACTTAATAGTATAGATACCTAAGAAGTAGGCGCACTAAGAGACCTTTAATAATATAAATAATTATATAATAATAACTGCTACGTAGGCTAATAGATAATATAGCTATAGTAGCGCTACGCTAAGTAATACAAAGAGCTAGACAAGAAGTTTAGACTAGGCTAATTACTCTTTAGACAGCTATATAGATAAAAAATAATATAATAGAAAGTATATAGCTATATTATTCTACTAAGAATAAATAATAAAACCTAAGAAAGGTTAGAAGAGCTAACGTAGTAGATCTTAATTCTAGTATAGCTAGAAAAAAAGAGGCTAAATAATAAAATAGTAGTAGAAAGCTATTATAGTATATAAAAAAGGTAGTAATAGTTCTTCTAGCAAAAGACACCTAACTTTATTAGTAAGTAAATAGTTAAATCTAATTAATAGCACTTATACGTTTAACATTTATACTAGCTATTATACTATTTATAATACTTATATACTACTTTATATAAATAAGTAAGAGTTAATCTAATAAGGCTAAGGTTAATAAATAATCTAAGTTAGTTGCTAAAGCCTCTTTAAAAGCCTAGTTTACTAAATAACTATCTTTACCTCTCTAAACTAAGTCTATAAAACCTAAAGTAATACCTACATTATTCTAGAAGAATATTAAGATACTAGACATTCTAGAGTTCTTAGGTACTACTAGCTAGCAGCCTTAGGCATAACCTCTAGTATAACTCTAGAATAATAATATAGTAAAGCTTCTTTAAATAATAGCTTAGTCTCTCTAGTAGCTAGGCAATTGCCCTCTAGTCTATTCTACCTAACTTTCTCTATACCTATTAGAGACAGTTCTAGTGTTTAATAGAACTAATGTTACTACGTTTCTTAAGCGTTTTAAAAATATATTAAAGTACTATAAGTTTATAGATAAGATAAAGATTAATTACCTTTTAGCGCACTACAAACCTAAGTAGAGGGCAATTATCTAAGCCTTAAATAAATATTCTAACGCTCTAGTTACTAAATTCTAGAAGAAGTTTAGAGAGGCTCTTAGAAAGCTCTTTTATACTAATAATAAAGACTAACAGAAAGCTTAGGCTAAGTACTTTAAGCACTAGCTTCTCTAGTACTAAGCAAGGTCTAATCTAAACATTAAGAAGTACCTATAAAAGTTTTAGATTTGTAGTAAGTACTGTATTAAAGTATTAACTATTAATAAAGATTACTAAGATTTCTACCTAGTTAAGAGACTACTTTTTAGGTATACTATAAAGATACTTAACAAGTTTAGTTTAAAGACTAATAACTTAAAGGCATTTAACTACACTAAGATTAGTAACTACCTTACTATCTATCTAGAGGTAGAGAAAGAAGCTTATATGCTTAACTCCTCTAAAGTAGTTAAAGAGATTATTCTAGAAGTTAAATTTAACCTAGCGCAGCTAATAGCCTATTAGTAATCTTAGTAACTAGTACTAACTCTCTAAGATAACTATATATAGGCTTTCTAGCTATCTAAGCTTAACGTTCTACTCTAAGATAAGCTGCTTAGGCTCTATACCTTCTAGTCTTCTCTAGAAAAAGCACCTACTAATATAGAGGTAGATAACTTAGTTAATAAGATGCTTAATCTAAAGATTAATTATGCTAGCCTAGAGATAAAACTATAGAAGATCTAGTAGATCTACTGCAAAACTAAACTTATAAATAACTCTAATATACGTAGTAAAGTAGACTATTAAGCTAATAAACGCGCAAACTATCTAAGAGCGTACCTACTCTAAGGCTAGAGGTAATTCTAGCTAAATAACTAGTATTAATCTTAGTAGTAGTAGTAATATAGTAGTTACTAATAGAACACTAGTTAGACTTTCTGTAACAACTTCTAAGGCTTTTAGAATCTAGAAACTAGATATAATTAAGGCACTATAAATAGATAGGCTCTTAGAGTAACTATAAATTATTAGGTATATAATAAGAGCAACTATTATAAGTAGAACTATCTAACTCTTTAAGCGTATATAGATAAGAGCTAGCTTTATATAGATAAATAGAATATGCTTTAGTAGAGCACGCTAAAGAACCTCTAGAGTTGTATTAATAACTTAGGCTAGAGACTATAGACTAAGAGTATTTTAGCTAAGATTAAGTAATAATTCTTAAAGAAGAACATTAACTCTCTTATAGTTAACGCCTAGTTTAGTAACCTAAAGGCTCTAATTAGTGTAGAGAACAACGCTATTTTAGTTTAGCTTATACTAGACTCTACTAGAAGCCTCTAAGTAGATAATATAAAATAATTCTAGAAGCTTTTAAGTATCTTTGCTAAAGATAAATTAGACTACTACCTACGTCTAGCGAACCTAAATTAATGTAATAATACTATTACAGCTATAACTATTTCTAGAGTATTCTTAGAACCTAAGAAGGCAGTATCTTATAATTCTTCTAAGGTTTAGAAGAAGATAATACTGTAAAGACCTAGTAATAATTACATCTCTTATCTCTAAGGTTATAAGAATAGAATAGAATACTCTTTAAGCTATTAGGCGCTAAACAAGAAGAGAGTTATCTAATTTAGTAAAGAAGATAATCTTATATAACTAGACAATAGAGCATCTAGAACACTATAAGAATAATTAGAACTAAATTCTAAGATAACTAATAAGTAACTAAGAAAGTATAAGATTGTTAATAAGCTTAAGCCTAATATATAGGCTATAATCTATAGTATTCTAGACACTTTAATCTCTCTTTAGATTAGTACTCTTTTTAGTAATATACTTAAAGTCTATAAGATGCTATTTAACTCTAACTATATAAATAAGAAGCTAGATAAGTTTAAAGTTAATATTATTAAGACATTAAGGTAATAGGCTAGATAAGAGAAGCTTTAAGAAGAGAAAGAAGAATAGAAGTTTAATAAGCTCTTAGGCGCTGTAGTTAATGTAATTACTCTTAGCACTCTCTCTAACTACGTACTAGTAGAAGTAGAAGCTAGTAGAGTAGTTAACTACTATAGCCTAAAGGTAGAATACTAGACTAACTAGAAGATTAGCTATGTATAATAGTATATTATTATAGATTAAGGCTAAGAGTATAACTCTAAAGACGCAGATTATAACTACCTAAAAGATAATTAAGCGTATAACTAACTAATAGGTATTAAGCACTTACGTTAAGACTGTCTAAAAGTCTCTATTAATATTAGAGGGAACTCTTTTCTCTACCTCTTAGACTTAGACGCTAAGCTAAACACTATTAAGAGAGAAGTAGCTAAGAGAGCTATATTACTAATTATATTACTACTAAGTAGTATAAAAACTACTTAGATAGTTACTACAAATAGAAGTACAGCAAGCTTTATAAGTATTATCTAGAGTATCTCTATTATTATAGAGTAGATTAAAGTCTAAATAAACTTCTTTGTTATAGAATTCTGCACTAATCTAATTATTCTAGGTAACTCTTTTCTAATAGACGCTTAGGCGCGTATTAAGTATATAACTAATAAATTAATATACTATTATATCTTTAGCGCAGATAGCTAAGCTAATATAAAGTTTATATATACTAGAAGTAATAAGCTTATAGCTTCTAGTCTTTATACTAGACCTACGTTAGAAAAAGGTATAGAAGTATAGTAGCTAGCGCTACACTCTAGCACATAACTAAAGAGCTAGTAGGCAGCGCAGTGTGCGCGTATATAGAGGTAGTAGGTATAATAATAAAAGAGGTTAGAGATAGTAGACTAAATAGTAGTTAGATGCCTATATAATCTATTAGTAAATAGGTTCTATAGAAGAAGCGTAGAGCTCTTAGAAAAAATCTAATAGCGTACTTATTAAGATTAAATAGCAAGTTAATAGGCCTTAGGCCTAATAGAAGCCTACTAATAAGAGATAATAAAAGCTTATGTATTTTTAAGATAGAAGACGTTAAAGAGCTATTAGCCTAACTTCTAAGTAATATTGTAGAGAGTATTAGTAATAAAAATACTACAAAATAGAGTAAGGCATTCTTCTAGGCAAAGAACCTAGCTAAGGTAGATAAAGGCCTTAC